GGGGCTGACTCCAGAGCATGGGGAGGAGAAAGACTCGACTCCAGGGCAGAGGGCAGAAGAAAGTTCTGACTTAGAAGACGAGAAGGTAGTGAAAAGTCTCACTTCCACAGAAATGAGGTTTAAAAAGCTCCCCACAGACAGGACAGATGGCTTTGACCAAGACGACTTAGATTTCTAGAGCTCCAGCTGTGAGATGGTCTTAAGTCTGGAGCTCAGCCCACCGGAGAGGCACAAAGAACACGGGCAAAGATCAAGGACTTGCCAAGGACACAGCCACCCCAGGCTGCCCGGGCTTCCAAATTCCGGGCTTCTGAGGCCCCCTGCCCATCCACGCAGCATGTCAGGGAAGGGCATCTCAGATGCACCCCGTTATTGGAGGTCAGCTGCCCCCTCCCCACATCTGCCTGCTGAGCCCAGGAGGATGGACCTGACTGGAAACGGTCCAGAACAGTCCCCAGCTCTGGCTGTGTTTGTTTTTTGCTCGCTAGTATTTCCCTTGTTCTTCTGTCTATTGATCTCCAGTTATTTCTCTCCTTGGCCTCCCTTGGCACTGACCTCTCTTGACTTTGAAGTGCTTTTTTCTGGTCTTGACTACATTTGGTGACTCTGCAGATGTGAACACTTGGGAGAGGAGGATAAATTCAGGGTCATTGGACAAAATTTGTTCTTAACCCAAAAGTCCAAGTGTCTTTCCTTAATTCATATATATATTTTTTGTAATAGAAAAAAAATTGGAAAACTCAAAAAAGCAGAAAAGAAGTCACTCTTAATCCTTCCCCTCGTGTTAGCAGTTTGATGTATTCCCTTCCCACCATTCCCCTAATTATTTGATAGCTGTGCTCATCCTTATAAACTTCTTTTTTAACCTAATATAAGAATTTTCCTTTGAATCTCAAAGTCTTCCTAAACCTATTTTTTATACCTGAATAATGTTTTTAATGCTTGATACTGTATTATGAGACTATAAAATACTTCACCATCTCCTATTGTTGGTCATTGAAGTACTTTCCATTATTTTTTCATATATATATATGAAAAAAAATAATTATATATATATAATTTTTTTTCCCTTGAGGTGCAGGTGATTTCCTTAGGGTAGATTCCCAGGCATGGAATTATTGGGTCAAAGGATACCGCTGTTTTTAAGGCTCTTGACATCTTGCTGCCAAACTGTTTTTCTAAAAGTATGTACTAATTTGCATCACCTGATCCCCCACATTCTCATCCGTGTTTGGTGGTCATTAAAAATGAGAAATCTTCGCTAATTTCATGGGAAAAAATAGTACCTCATTTTAATGTGGTACTATTTTAGATATATTTGGTTGCTAATGAGATTAAAGAGTTTTCTAGTATTTTTTTAAGAATACTATTTGCATATAAATTATATGTCTACGCCTTTTGCTCATTTTCAGTGAAACTCCAGCTTTTAAAAAATGAATAGATTTACATGTGCCCTTTATAATTTTAAAAAGACATTCTACTTATTTTTGAGATTGAAAAGAAATGCCCTGTCTCAGCATCCTTCTCTAGCAAGACCTGGACGGGGCCCATCTGGGTCGGGATCTCTTTGATGGAACAGAACTTCTTTCACTGGTTCTCATGTGCATTCCCACTCATCCAGGACCATTCTGTGTATTCAGAATTATTAAAATGGGAGTCTGTGCTGCAAGAACAGGTATTGTTCATTGGTTGTTTAAATGTAAATGTTAATAATTAAAAATAAATTAAAATAAATTAAATAATAATTTAAAAATAAGGCAAATGTTGGGTGTAGGCTGTGTCTTCACGCCCAGAGTCATCCCTCCTGCTCTGAGTGCAGAAGATATTCTTAATAAAATTTGACATGTTTTTAAAATTTCTGTGGAGGTGATCTTTAAAGTTTTTACATTGAAAGTATATATACATATACATACGCTGGTATCTTAGCCAGAGCCCCCAACAGAGCAGATGGTGTTGTGAGCCTGGTTTAGGTAGGGTGATGTCCAGAACTGGTCACTATTAGTTGACGTGGAACATCTACTGTGCACCTCTTCTGTGACTTGAGGTCCTCAGTCATTTCCTAAGGGATGTTCCAACCTCTTTGCTTCATGATCTGCTATCTCCCCAAATGACAGAGACAGCCACCCCTGGCACCTACTGTCCTGGCACTTCATTAAAATGGTCTCTGGTCAAGAGAATGCAATGGAGAGAGTTTGGGACTTGGAGTTGGATGACCTTGGCTCAAGTCTCAGTGATGGCACCTCAGTTTAAACATCTATGAAGTGGACCAAGTAGAATTTTCCTTGCTGCATTGTTGAGAAATAGATAACATACAAAACTTCATTACATGTATGTCGGAAAAATATCAGTATTCTGATTAGAACTGCTAAGTTTTCCATGCTTGTTATGTGTTAGATACCATATGACATAAGTGAACACATTTAATCTTCTCAACTTGTCTGGGGATCAGGCACGTCGACACTGTTATCCCCATTTCACAGACAAAGCAACCGAGGCAGAGGAGGCTTAATAAACTTGTCCAAGCTCACACAATGAGGTAGGAGCAAAGGCTGGATTTAAACTCAGATATTTCAGACTCCAAAGGCCACATCCTTTTCCATTGTACCATATTTTCCTCAGTTTGATTCAGGGCCCATAAATAAATAACTAAAGGTGATCAACACTTTGTTGAATGAATTTACTGCAAACTAGTTAGGAAAGTCAATTAGATGGGGTTTTTGGTTCAACTGATTCCAGCATGTCCTTAAGTAATGTTCTACTTACGTACAGACATTGGAAGCCCTAGATAACCTGGTTTTATAAAGCTAAGAGTTAAATTCAGAGTTTAGCCATCCACGGATTCTCCTTTCAGGTACAAACTCACCTGCTTTAAGCCCTCAAATATTTCTGCCCCTTATATTTTAAAAAAATTTTGCTTTTAATGGAAAACTCTATGCTTTCTTCTGACTTGGCGATGAAATATTTCAGGGCCATCAGCTAAGGTGGGGATTTCGGTGTCTCCTCACCTCTCTCCTCCAGAGCAACTGGATTGCACAGCACGGCCAGGCCTCCTAAATTTAGCACCTTTTGAAAATCTTAGCCGCAACCCATCCCTGAATCAAAACCTGATGCGTTTGCAACTCAAAGCATTGCCAAAGGACTTTTAGTCTCACCAGTAAAATAAGCATTTTTAGCCAGTGGAGTTTCTCCTTGAAGTAAGTGGGGAAGAGAAGTGAGTGAGGAGAAAGCAAGCTCCTGCCCCAGCTCCTGTCCAGCTGCTGGGGATCAGAGACTCCAGCTCAAAGGGGCCATCCTTCAGCGGCTAGGAACTAAAGACTCGGGTCCACACCCTGCACCAAAGCTTCTGACTTTACTGGTCCAGGTTAGGGCCCCAGCCCAGCTGCGCTGTCCAACTCCCAGCTGTACGCAGTGTTCGGTCCCAGTGGCCCGTCACTGATCTAGTCTAGCTTCCCTTTTCCGAGTGAGAAGACATCCATCCTGAAAAAGTGCATTGTCTAAATCACGCAGCTGGAAAAGTGGCCATGCTGGGCCCAGACACTGGGTCTCTCTCCATAGCCCACCTCACAGTCCCCTGTCCCCAGGGTGGGAGAGGCCCTGCCAGGGAACGCGACAAACAACCAGCTTTGTAACCTAGACCCTGCCCCCCTCACCTGCACGCCCACCTGCCTCCCTCCTCACCCAGCTCCCTGCATCTGAGTCTGACCCGGAGGCCCAGGCGCTGGCTCCAGGAAGGCCCTTCTAAGGTGCCCAGGGCAGGAGTAACCTATTCTCAGTCCGCGAAGCCCTGAGTACAAGTACAGCTTGGGAGGGGACGCGTCCTGAGAGGTTTCCAAACAAATCAGAGGCTGGGATTTTTTTCCTTCACTCTAACGAACATGTAAACCATTTAGATAGCATCGTTAAAACGCTCTTTCCACGCTGGAGAGTCTGGTTCTGCGTGTCTGCACGTGGGCCTGGGAAGGTGCATTTCAGCAAGTCCCTGGGGGAACCCCCCTGTACGTCCTCCCCCTAAGGGGCCTGCATCCTATGGTCGGACCATCCTGCCAGGCCTGGGGGTCCTCAGAGAGGCTGAGTACCTCTCACCAGCCCTGCCAGCCACACAGACACACAGACACACACGCCCCTTCCCTGCCCTCCCTCATTATCCCGTCTCCCTGGGGGACACTGTGGGTCAGTCAGGTCATCCTCTCTCTCTGCCTTCCTCTCCTGAGAGGCAATTAGTGGGGAGAGCACGCTCCCCCTGCCGGCCCCCCAAGAGGCACTGTGGGCCTCCGGGGCCCTGGATTTCCGTGGGACTCACGAGAGGCAGACGCGCCAGGCCCGCACGGGCCCTCCAGCTCACGCCCGCTCACCAGCCCGGCTGCCCCAGAAGAGTGACCCCGGCTAGTCCCGGGGCTTCCACTGGAAGGAGTCAGGCACGGACTCCTGGGGTAATCGGCCTTCCACCCTCCGCCCGGCAAGCCTGCCCAGCACCTGGGCTGGGGCCCCGCATCCAGCGGGGGAGGCTGGCTGCCCCGTGATGCTCGTCCGCGGAGCCAGCTCTCCGCCCTCCCACTGCCTCCGCACCCTCGCCGCAGGGCTGCTTCCAGACACCCCCGTGCCCTACCCTTGTCCTCCTGGGTTACATGCTTAGACCTGGTTGGAGGAGGGGGTCATTGCCCAAGGCACCCAGTTTGCTGTTGAGAAGACCAGT